CCCCCCCACACACACACACACGCACAAACCCCCGCTAAAGTCAGTACCCTGGCTGCGACATTGTTAAAACCATGTGAAAGTGTTTTGTGTTTGTCCAAATGGAGTTGAATTTCTGAATTGGACAGCCCCAATTACTTAATCATGGTTCACTGATATATCGCTTTTATATTTAGTTGTGCGATGCAGCACTTTATATCACCCTACAAATGGACAAATAATTGCACATTCAAGATACTGCGGGGGGAAACAAACAGAATTTAAATGTCATTCTGGCTATCAGTTAAGAGGTTCAAGAAGAATAACATGTCGGAGTGACGGAAGTTGGTCTGCAGTGAGTCCGACCTGTGTCGGTAAGTTTTAACCCTTTCAATTCTGTTCACTTTGGTCCCTCTTCAGAGGCGCAGCACGCCTGCCTCCTCCCCGCTTTCGTGTCGAGTTACGATAAAAATTCCATAGCTAAGGCCTCGTCCACACGTTTGTACCAGCCACAGGTACAAAATTTTCAATTATTATACATTGCAACGAACTTGAATGATAACTGGCAAACATGAAAGCCACAAAATAGAAGACCTTTGTTTGGATGTTGAACTGTACTGTACCTCATCGTGCACAAATCCTTTGCCTTGGGGGCTTCGGTGGCGAAGTGGTTAGCGCACTTGCCTTTCACCTCTAAGGCCGCAGGTTCGAATCTCAGTGAGAACTTCTCAATGTGACTCGAACCCAGTCCTCATGTGAAAAGAGTAAAAGTCAACGCTCTGCCGAAAGACGTGGGTTTTCTCCGAGTACTCCGTGTTTCCTCCCACAGGGAAAGTTGACAGGGTGGGTTAGGCACATAAGTCTGGGGGCAGATCATTAATGAGGTATGGACTAACAGGCAATTCCAGCTTTTAGTTTATGCGTGCAGGGGATGATGGGAAGTAAGGTATCACATTGCTGATTATGCTGAAAATTTTCAATAAAAACTGCCGAAACAACCGAAATATTTCAATATTTACAAGTATAAGCTATCACTCTGTGATAGCTTATAAGCATAATCAGCAATATGATACCTTACTTCCCACCTTTAAGCATAATCAGCAATATGATACCTTACTTCCCATCATCCCCTGCACGCATAAACTAAAAGCTGGAATTGCCTATAGCGGCTGCTCAAGCGCCATTTGTAAGCTCAAAGTCTACCTCGGTCTGCTTCACGTCAGTCCGGTTCTATCTATCTATTCATAATGTAACCAGTCACTGAAAAGCCCTGATAGGGAGTGTGCTGTGAAATATCTGTATCTGTCTCAACTTTGTTAAATATTATTTATCGTAGTTGCACGTTTCATCTCAGCTATCCCTATTGGACGATTATTTAATTATGCAAAAACACAATGAGCTCAATCACCGTGACCGAAACATAAACTCAGACAAAAAGTAAACATAACACGATGACGTCAGCTATTGAGCAATCTCGTACCCAGAGCAATGCCTGTGCGCGGGCTAGGATGGCATTGGCTCTGGGGAAATTGAATTTTTCCTGTGCTATGATTGGTTTAACGTTTATCAATCGTGCATGCCGACAAAAGAACCGGAACCCCTAAATTTAGGGGTTCCGATTGTCAATTTCCCCAGAGCCAATACCATCCTAGCCCGCGCACAGGCATTGCTCTGGGTACGAGATTGGCTATTGAGTTGATATGACGATTTCACAGTTCGCTGTTTGCCAATCAGAAACCATGAATCATATGAAACCATGAATCATATGAAACCATGAATCATATGAAACCATGAATCATATGGAACCATGAATCATATGGAACCATGAATCAAATAATAATTTAATTTATGTCCTCCTATATGACCTATTGTTTGTTAAATAACACACTCGACTTTCAAATTTTAGCTGTTAAGACCAAACCACCACCACAGGCCAAAGCAAAGCGAATCTCGATAACAAAAGCTGTACCGCGCAAGGCTATGACGTCCAAATCTCACACCACGACCTCAAGACCAACAGCTACTACTCAACTTCTTATAACTGTTGCTCTAAGTAAGTAACGAGAATCAGGGCCTCTTTTAACCCTATTGCCCCAATGTTGCCCCTGCAGTGAACTATGTGTCCCCCCCTCCCAGTGAAAGTCCTTTCTGTTTAGAATATGAGCAAAAGGGAACTGTATGTTTTAGTAATTCCCTAAATATAGCTTTTGTCCATTGGATGAAATACATCAAAAGATACAAAATTTTCTGAGGGGTGCCTCCCCAAGATCTCCCTAAGCCATCCCACTTTTCCACTTTACCATCTCCCTTTTTCGTGTCCC